AGCCTGGAATTTGTTCAAACGTTGTTCAATCTGTAAACAATCGGACATGGGGTGTCGCTATTGCCATCAGTCTTCCCCGCTTACGTTCCTATATTGAACTGTTTCTACCTGACGTCAGGCTGTTAACTAAACTGTTTAAGATTTTACTGTCCGATGCAAATTTCCTATATTCTATTGTTTGGATGAACTCCCATTCGTGCGATGACTTTCTTTTATCTTCTATCTGGCTCGCATCATCGCACGCTTGCTATCTCACATACCGACATCACACGACGAGCAGAAAATGGACGACTGTAAAAACAACACGATGCTGTTCAGCACTTTAATCTTCTACTCGCGGCTTCCTCAGCCGGCACATGAAATAGACTACTGTCCAGGCACACATTATAACTCAAATATCAAAAGTATCAACTATTACCTTCTGTCCGAAATCACAATCATCCTACACTATCATAATGAACGAAAACACAACAGCTGTCCTGACAGAAAAACGAACTCGGCCCGCAGACATCTTGCCTGCCAGCTGTCTTGCCAAGTTGGACGTTGGAGGAACAAAAACACTCAAACACATGTTGAATCCACACATCATCCATCGTTGTTCATGCACTCTGTTCCTAGGTCCAAACGAGACTCCCCCTTAGCCCTTTCAATGGTATTATATAGCCTTCTAATCCCCGCTTCGTTTTTCCCGAATACTCCGTGTCCCTTCTGTCTCACGACTTCCATTTGGCCGGCAGTTGTGTGTGGCACGTGATTCATCGAACTTCACATGAAGCTCGACAGTCAACATTTCTCTTCACGTGAATAATTATACTTCACGCAAAGAGACTAGTTTGAAGTTTAGACTCAAGAATTCCCGTATCGTCCCAGTTAGAATCAAAATATTCCACTCACATTTATTACTGACGTCATCTGTTGGGCATAAATTATCTAGGAGAAAATGAGACTCACGACAGTAGTGAACCATTTTCTCCTTGATAAGTTATGTTCCAGATGGAATGACGTCAGCTAATAAATATGAATAATATATTTAAATGTAACAAGGGCAGAGTCGTGATCCATGGACAAAATGTTGGCCAAATTAAAACCCGTGGGAATCAGAGAACACGAAAAAGTCATAACTATAATGTGGTTGTTAGAAGATTATATAAGGCCTTAGAAAGAGCATGTGGGCCAAGAAACTGAGTGCATGAAGAACAAAGAAGTGTTTGTTGGATCCAGAATGTGTCTGAGTCTGAATGTAGTTTCAAACGCCTTATCTGGCCAGACAGCAAAGGACTGACGGGAATTCGTCTGCCAGCTGATTTGTGTTCATCACTGACATGGTAAAGTTATATGTGCTACAGTGTGATTTTGGAGTAAGGGAATGTGTTTCGATGAGTGAAGGTAATGTTGACATTATTTTGAAGTGATTTTAGAATACCTAGACTTCATCCCTCATCATGTACTGGCTGATGAAACAGCGAGTGGAGAAAAAAGTGTGAAACTGCATTGCGTTGTTCGCTGTCGTCTATTTTTACTCATCGTGTTGATGTCGGTGCGTGAAAAGAGGAGTCTGCAAGTGACTAGAGCCATACTGATCATACTGATAAAGAACAGAGTCATTGCACAAATCGGAGCTCATCAGAACGGAAGAGTCTGAGGAAAACTGTTTCGGACAATATATCCGTAACAAGAGGAACTAAGATTAGCAACAAGCCAGACATCGGGTAGAACCAGTTCCGATCACAGACAGAAAACACAAGTCTGGTGATTTAGGAATGTAAGCAGGGAAGATCTAAGGCAAAGTGGCGACACCCCATGTCCGATTGTTTGCAGAATAGTACAGTCATAACAGAATGAAGAATTCCCCCCCTAAAAAAATCCAAAGGCTACGAATACTTGTAGGAAAAAGTCCACGATTCAAGTTTTTTCGGCCATCTAACAACAGAAATGCAATAGAACAGTTGTAGACAGTGATAGTGTGGGAGCAGTCATCTATGGTTGCAGAGGAATACAAGTGTAAGGCTACGCACAGATGAACTTAAGACTAGGGCTGTCCCTCTACAGCAGTTCTGAAGCCCTGTTGATTGTTCTAAAAGTGCTGCCGACAACAGTGTGGTGAAGTGCAGTGGGCTATCTGCACCAAGCAACACAAGAAATTGTCGACACCAGATCCCTCCATTCAGATCTGTTTCAAAATTTAATCATCTAGCAACGTTTACAACACCGGGTAGAGTGTTGAACCGAAGCCTAGATTGAAATTCCTGTGCAACAAGCTCTGGCACTGGGTATTTGTGTCACAGCTTAGCAGTAACAAGCGTGACAGAACATTTATTAGAAAAACCCTACAGTACGAAAAGCCTGCGATACCTCAAGGTCAACACTCATTGATACCTCAAGATCATTGCATACCAATTGTTCCATAACACACAAGAATGCAATAATAATAATGCATTCCAACGGCCTAAATGCAATCAAGTAACAAAGGAAAAATTTTAATATTCTGGGTTAATTTAAATGCCTATAAAAATCATGTTTTAGTTATGTACAGTGTACAGTCTAACAAGTGACATAGCAGTATATATAATATACTAAGTGCACAACAGCAAACACAAAATATACACTGAAAAATTAGCCGAATACTGAGTGTCAGGCCCATCATTGAAGAAATGTTTTGGTTTAATTCATACAGACCCAGTTGTTAAAAAAAAGCTGCAACATGGAAATTTGTTTTATCTAATAATGTGTTATTCAGAATATATCAAAAGGGTCCAGAAGTCTACAAACAAACAGTGCTACCACAAAAATTGTGACCAAAAGCTCTATCATTGGTGTATGATTCAGTATTCGTTGGTCACATGGGAATAACAAAAACCAAAAGGAGAATTTTATCTACATTTTACTGGCCTGGGTTTTAAAAAGATGTAAAAAACTATGTTAGATCCTGTGATACCTGTGTTAAAACCACTAAAAAGGGGAAAACCCAAAGGCCCCTGTACAAACAGATCTGATAGCATCAAGACCATTTCAACAAGTAGCAATTGATATTGTTGGCCCATTGCCAGTAACTTTAGCAAAGGGAAACAGGTTTATTTTGACTTTTATTGATGTAGCCACAAAATGGCCAGAATGTATACCACTAAAGTTCATAACATCAAACAATATTTAGGGAGCATTGTTGGCAATTTTCTCAAGGGTTGGTTTTCCAGAAGTTATTTTTTCGGACAAAAGTACTCAATTTACATCTATGGCTACAAAAGCTTTTAATAACTGGTTGGGAATCAAACAAAATTTTCACCTTGTCACGCACAAGCTAATGGCTTGGTTCAAAATTTAAATAAATCTATAAAAACAATGGTTTTTAGAATATCATTTGAACATCCAGTCTTGGGATACTTTATTGCCTGCAATTATGCTTGCTTATAAAGAAATTCCTTACAACTCAACAGGTTTTTCGCCATTTGAACTTATATATGGGGCAAATCCATGAGGACCATTAAAGCAAAATAATAAGCTTCTCACAGGAAAAACATAAACCGAAAAATTTGATTACGAATTAGTGGCAGATCTAAGAAATAAAATAATGATTGCCTGTAAATGACTAACTAGCACTTAGATGATTGCTAAGCGACTACGCTATTTTTAAAAACAGTGAAGCGACCAGAGAACGGAGTTTCCAACAAGGACATCGTGATGGATGAGTGAAGACTATACAGATAGTTCATCACTACGGAGTTGAATTACTGTTCACCCAATTAATAGTCTGTATGTGGGCGAGATGATTTGATGATGTGTGTGTTCTGACGGTGTCGAGTTGGTTTGTGTTTAGGATATAAATCATTGTCATAGAGCTGCCAATGAGCAATTGTCTTTAAGACAATAAGTATGTTTACGACAAATACTGTTGATATTGTTTGATCCCCATCTGAGTTCCCATTGTCATTAAGACAATAAGTATGTTTACAACAAATACTGTTGATATTGTTTGATCCCCATCTGAGTTCCCATTGTCATTAAGACAATAAGTATGTTTACAACAAATACTGTTGATATTGTTTGATCCCCATCTGAGTTCCCATTGTCATTAAGACAATAAGTATGTTTACGACAAATACTGTTGATATTGTTTGATCCTCATTTGAGTTCCCATTGTCATTAAGACAATAAGTATGTTTACGACAAATACTGTTGATATTGTTTGATCCCCATCTGAGTTCCAATTGTCATTAAGACAATAAGTATGTTTACGACAAATACTGTTGATATTGTTTGATCCCCATCTGAGTTCCATTGGCCTTAAGACAATAAGTATATTTTTACGACAAATACTGTTGATATTGTTTGATCCCCATCTGAGTTCCAATTGTCATTAAGACAATAAGTATGTTTACGACAAATACTGTTGATATTGTTTGATCCCCATCTGAGTTCCAATTGTCATTAAGACAATAAGTATGTTTACGACAAATACTGTTGATATTGTTCTGAGTTCCAATTGTCATTAAGACAATAAGTATGTTTACGACAAATACTGTTGATATTGTTTGATCCCCATCTGAGTTCCCAGTGTCATTAAGATAATAAGTATGTTTACGACAAATACTTTTGATATTGTTTGAGACCCATCTGAGTTCCAATTGTCATTAAGACAATAAGTATGTTTACGACAAATACTGTTGATATTGTTTGATCCCCATCTGAGTTCCAATTGTCATTAGGACAATAAGTATGTTTACGACAAATACTGTTGATATTGTTTGATCCTCATTTGAGTTCCCATTGTCATTAAGACAATAAGTATGTTTACGACAAATACTGTTGATATTGTTTGATCCCCATCTGAGTTCCCATTGTCATTAAGACAATAAGTATGTTTACGACAAATACTGTTGATGTTGTTTGATCCCATCTGAGTTCCCATTGTCATTAAGACAGTAAGTATGTTTACGACAAATACTGTTGATATTGTTTGATCCCCATCTGAGTTCCAATTGTCTGATCCTATTCCTGTACTACAGGTGATGGTCTTGCAGACTTTGCTGAGAACCCACAGGAAGCTGGCAAGTCTCTGACAGTGTGTGTCGATGCAGCCAAATCAGCAATCCCCAACAGCAAACATGCCAGTACCCCAGTCTACCTTGGGGCCACTGCAGGGATGAGACTACTCAAGTAAGATTTCCAGTCACTGATTTTCTAGACACAGTTAACTGTAAACTTGCTTTATGAAAGTATTGGTTTGTTGGTTACAAGCCTCATGACTTTACACAATACCTGTGCTGGGGCATTGACAGTGTCCATGTTTATTAAGAATTATGCACCTGGGTGTGACCAGAGGGTTCGGCCAGCATTCTATGCTCAGAGAAAAGGCAGGACAAACATACAACCAGACTACGGCTATCACCATTAGTATTGGAACTCTGCGCTAGCTGCTGAGGATGGGGATGGAGGCATATGGTATCAGTTCACAACCCAGAAGTGCAGATCAAGCCAATCTTATGCCTGTTCCTTCCCCACCATACCAGCATCATCTGGAGAAACGATCTAAAGTATACTCACTACCCCTGAAGCTTGCCACTCTGCTTGAAGCAATCATGTCTTCACCTTTTTCAGCATGCTTTTCATTACAATTGCGACATGTGAATGTATCTTGGTCTCTAGCCACCGACAAGCTGCAGTAAATGCCTCCACGTTCAATTTAATGCTAGATTTTGTGGTATCATATGCCAGCCTGTTCTGCACTAAAGATTTTCCATTGGCTTTCGCTACAAAACCCCAGGCACTTCTCTTTCCTCTCAGTACAGAACCGTCTGTGTAGATAATCAGATTATCAGGACGAGAATTGTCGTGAATCAACTGTTGGACTTCCACCTCAGTAGCACCCGCTGGCCACTCTCTGCACTCCCAGGCCTAACGTGATTATGACCCTACATATGTCAGACTTTTCCTCTGGAACTCTGACCCACTCCTCTCCTCGCACAATGTTCTTCAGCATGCATACTTGTCTTATTGTGTCTTGTGCTTCAGGACAATGTGACAGAACAGGGATCAGCTGGCCTCAAAGACCTGGCACAGCCATACTCAGACAAGAAGGTTTACTTGTTCCAACAAGCAGTAGTAGTTCACAGACAGCACGAATCTTGACATTCACTGGTATCTGTCAGGGTATACAGACATGCCGACCTTGGGGTGAGTTCAGCTGGTCATCTCTACTCAGTCTACATTAGCGGAGGTCATAATGTCACTCTGATGGAAAATGCAATGCAAGATACTATACATAGAGAAGTGGAATGACGTGTTATTATCAGCTTCATGGAAGATAAAACAGTGGGTGGCAACAGAGATGAGGATTTTCTCACTGGCTTGAGCTGCAGTCATACCAACAACAAACTTACAGTGGGTTTAAGTCTTGGAGACTCAGGGCTGTAGTGGCTAAGACTCTGAGGCAGTGGACACACCAGCTGTTTCCCTTGTGAGTCTCTGGGTCGAGCTTACAGGGGGAAAGAGCACATTCAGGTGGTAAGTCCTCGGACCTGGAAAACCTTTCTACAGTCAAGACTGTTGTGGGTGACCGAAAAGGTACATCCTTCAAAAGGTGACCCCATTAACCAAGACTTGTGGTCCTCGAACAAAACACAATGGATCTAGAGGAGACAACCTTAATTTTAAAAAGCCAAGCCTAAAGTGGATCTACATGCTGAGAGGCTGAATGGCTGTGGAATAGTCAGTTGTTAACGTGGTCAGCAAGAGGAGCGGCCCTAGATGTGTGGACTCTATATGGACACCTGTTGCCTCTTTCCTAAGAGGCAGGCACTACTAGGGTGACCAGCTACTTCCTGCTTCATAGCAATTTTTTCATATAGATTTTTCATTTCATAAGAATTGTTGCTGGAGCTACAGAGCACATGCTTTGCTCTTGAAGTCGTCTTCAAGAACAGATCGGGAATCCATACACCGAAAGACTAATTCAAGGGAGGATTCCTGATTGATGACACACACACACACAAACCCACAGACACACACATGCAGACTCGCACATGTGGACACACACATATATATGCACAAGCACACACAGACACACAAACACACACACACACAGATAGACAGACAGACAGACAGACAGACAGACAGACAGACAGATAGATAGATAGATAGATAGATAGATAGATAGATAGATAGATAGATAGATAGATAGATAGATAGATAGATAGATAGATAGATAGATAGATAGAACGAATGAACAAACTTTATTTTCAAAGGGTTACAAATTAGGCACGCAGGCCTGTCTTACATTCGGCCCTTCCAAACTTCCATCTTTCACACAGCAGTTGTATTTCATCAATGAAGCATATTATATTCATGTAATGATACGCATATTATGGATATGAAGTCAAAAACAAAAGCATGGGTGGTAAAATATGTGCGCACGCTCATGCGCGAACACACACACCCACATACACACACAAGCCCAATCACTCACTTACACACAAACACATAGGCACCCAGTACACACATACATCCACATACACACGAACATGCACACACACACACACACACATACATACATACATACATTCATACATACATACATACATACACACACACACACACACATACATACGTACGTACATACATACAAACTCACATAATACAAACTCACATACATACATACATACATACATACATTAAAAAAATACATACATACATACACACACATACAGATGCTCTAAAACACACACGCATACAACCCAGACACATACAGACACACACACATGCAATCACAGGCACACACAAACACATACACACACAAAAGCAGGGAAACAGACACACACATAGACATACACAACACCCACACATACACAGATATGCACACACAGACACGCACAGTCACACATATGCACACAGACATACACACAGACGCATAACCCGACACAAGCAGAGACAAGCAGACATTATATGATAGACACACCGATAGAGACTCACACAGATACACACAAAGCCACGCACAGCCACAGACAGACACAGATACACATGCAGCCATACACACCTACAGACACATAATGGCACACACACACACACACACTGACACACAGAGACATACATAAACACATACTAACACACCCACATACGCACAAATACTCGCACAGACACACACATGCAGACGCACACACACACACACATTATCAAAAAGATGAACATACAAATACACACGAAACAACACACAGAGAAACACACAGCCACAGACACACACGCAGAAACACCTACAGACACAGCATAGATATACACAAACAGACAGATGCACACACACAGACAAACATGCAGCCAAGCCACACCCACACATATCCACATACAATACATTTAAAAAAAACACACACACACTCAGACACACAACACAGACTGACACGCACACCGACACGCAGACAGACACACCACAGACACGCTTACAGAAACACATACATATGCACATAAAAACACGCATATGAACTAGCCAACACAGAGACACAAAAACAGACACTCTCACAGGCACACCTACAGACAAGCACCCAGACACCATACACACAGACACACTCACTGACACACGCCTACACACAGATACGTACACACAAACATATACAGTTACCCATGCATACACAGAATCATACATACACAAATACGCCTACACACGCCTGCATGTCATACATATCCGCATACAAACATATCATACGCACTGCAATTAATTATAACTAGTAATGCATTGTGGATTATTAACTACATTTAAGGTGGCATGTAATCACTGATAATGATGAAATGAAAGAGTTTGCGGTAAAATGAGTAGGGGCTTTTTGTGAGAGAGAGAGAGGGAGGGGGAGAGAAAGAGCGATCTGTTGCACCCCCATATCCACCAACCTGGACAAGATACTGTCCTGCTTGTTATCGTGATTCTTTATGTGATATGCAGTTTTGATTGAAACAATCAATCAAGAATTATTATCACTGCACTTCCACCTGTAGCCAGCAGAGGGTTCCATACTGATGGTACCAGCTGCAACCTGATTAAAAGTTAATATATCTTTTCACTGAATAATTCTCTCCAGATATGGATACATTGTTCTGTTGTACTGTCCAGACCCTCTACCTACTGTCCACTGAATGATTCTCTCCAGATATGGATACGTTGTTCTGTTGTACTCTCCAGACCCTCTATTTACTGTCCACTGAATGATTCTCTCCAGATATGGATGCATTGTTCTATTGTACTCTCCAGACCCTCTACCTACTGTCCACTGAATGATTCTCTCCAGATATGGATACGTTGTTCTGTTGTACTCTCCAGACCCTCTACCTACTGTCCATTGAATGATTCTCTTCAGATATGGATGCTTTGTTCTGTTGTACTGTTCAGACCCTCTACGTACTGTCCACTTAATCTTCTTCTTCTTCTGTGTTCATCCGAAAATGTAATTGCGATCCATTTGGTCTTCAGTGGATCTGTACTTTCTAAATCCTGCCTGCTGTGGAGTTAGTAGGTGCTTTTCTTCTAGATGCCTCATTAATCTGCTATTTATAATGCGTTCCATCAGTTTCCCTACATAGCTAAGTAAGCTGATTGGTCGATATGCATTTGGTTCTACCGGATTTTTTCCTTTCTTCTGGACTGGTATAAGTATAGCTTCCTTCCATGCCTGAGGGACATTTCCTCTCTTCCAGCTGCACTTAAAGACTGCTAATAATTGCTTTTTTGCCTTAGTACCCAGCCCTATTATCATTTTATTCATGATCTCATTCTTCCCTTGTGATTTCTTCTTTTTCAGGGAACTCACTGCCCGCTCCAGCTCTTCCATATTCAGATTTTCCATCATAAATTCTGATTTCTCTGTGTTATTTTGACAAGTCCGTTGCTCTTTCATTGCTTTTTTGTATTCTGTTGTGATATCAATGTGGTTTGCACTAGCATAGTATTCCATCAGTGTGTTTGCAGCCTTTTTTCCTTTTAGTATGTTGTTACCCTGTTTAATAGTTATTTATTTATACTAGGCACTTCATTGTTCATGGCTTAAACTAATTTTCACAATTTATTTCCATCTTTGTCCAAGTTGAGGCTTTCTGTTTTTTCTTGCCAGGTATTTCTAGTTGTTTGATTTAATGTTCTTTTGTATTTTGCTGAGATGGCTTTCAGGGAAATGTTTGCTTCA